CTCCACCCCCCGTGGCACCCCCCCCATGCTGCTTATCTGGGACTTCTGCCGCTTCCTGCTTAATGACCTGTGCCTCCTGGGGTTACGACAGCAACTGGGACTGTCAGGATTGTCATTACTAAGCGATGCAGTCACATGACGTCGTGCTTTATGACCACATTGCTTAGTGACGGCAATCCCGGTCCCAATTGCTGTCATGACCTGAAGACTACCTGGAATTGTGGCCATCCTGGTGTTATTAAATATGAATATTAATGAAGAGAAAGCAAACATAACCATTCTGGCTTGTCAATCAGCATTTTTATTTGAAAGAACAACACTTTTCATGGTATAGTTTATACGTTAAAAGCAAAAGGATTGCCTTCATTTCACATGGTCCAATACTGAAGTGGCACATCTGAAGCAGCGCAGGAAGGTTTATATACAGGTTTATATCGAGAAACAGAACTCCGGGTAATTCATCTGAGACAAACAACAGTTACCCAAAAGAACAATGAACCAGGCAGACAACATTTTACACCCCAACTGGAAGAAGTGGCACATAAACGTATAGAGGAAACCATGGAAAGAAAAGCAACTCAAATCTTTTTGTGTATATAGCTATGTGTCACTTTAATGGCTAAGCACAAAAAAATCTGTTATTATTTAGTCCTCACTGAGGGCAGAATATACACAAATGATGTTCAAAGAACACAAGGTAGATGAAAATAAAACTACATGGTGTAAGTTGCTTATTACTATTAGTAAATATATAGAATAAAGGGGTCTTGACATTTTAAAATTATACTTTTTGTGCCTAGACTTTACACAAAGTAAAACCGTTGAATTTTGTTTTAAAAATGTTTTCTCCAAGTATGATTTACTTCTGCTGGCATTGTGCTTTTAATATTTGAACTTTCTAAGCACATAGGCTACCCTCCAACGTTAATCTTTCCTGCCTTAGCTTTTGGATGCTTTTAAAAAGCCTTAAGTAACCTGAATACTGAACAGGCCCTTGAATTATCAGTCTAAGATGGGGCTTATCTAAGTTTGGTATTATTATTATTACTTTAACTAGAACCCCAAATTCACCAGTCAGAGCCAGGTAGAGAGAATACATTTAGAATTTAAAAATCAAGGAGCCTCTGAGCACACTAAGCAAAAGAATTTGTGCTGAGTACTAGCAACTAGTAGGTCCTTTCACTTTAAAATGAAAGTTAATTACTCTCAATTCTCATTTCAGCAACTTTTAGGCAGAATTTTGTTGTTGTTGCTAGTGTTAAACAATTGTGAATTAAAACACAATTGTTCACAGACAAATCTGCCAATAGATTCTAATATACTTTCTGCCACACCTGGAATATAGCAAGTACAGAGCAGTGGTGGCTGATGTGTAAAGCAACTGGAATATACGTTTCGCAGTTTCTCTAGCACTCAATCATTTCTGAGATAAGACAACACGAAAAAGCTGGTTAGCAATAATTAGGCCTGCATAAACCACACCGTTTGGACAGGGAAAGATGGAATGGCCAAGGACATTTTTTTCTCTTCTTTGTACAAAGAGAGGAAAATAATGATAGAATGGTGATATGCTTTATCTTCCCCAATAATTCAGCTGCTTTCTCTCCACAATATTAAGACTGAGTTTGCATCACTAACTGCCACACTCTTCCACCCCATTACTGCGCAGACATCTCTGTAGCAACCAAAGGAGTAACCTGGGCATCCCATGTGTCCGGCTGCAGTGCCTTAAGAAAATATCACACATCACCACTAGGCAGCAGGGCGACACAAAAATCAAATACTATCTGTGGGGCCGATGACTATTTTAACCACTGCAGCTTGTACTTGTGATGTGGAAAGAGCAGCCGTTTCATTTATTCATTTCTTAATTTTTCAAGAGCAGTGGTACCAACACATGACTTGTTTTAGGAGAAACAGTAATTTAGATAGGGTGAATTGGCCATCCTAATGAGGCAAAGGAACAAGAATTTCCACGTAATTGATGGGGAAGAAGCCTGACTGCCCATGAAGCATGCCTTCATACCAGTTTTCGTCAATCTGGTTGGTGAGGGTGATGACATCGCCTTCTTTAAAACCGAGCTCCCCTTCATTTTCAGGGTCAAAGTCATACAGAGCTCGACAACATGGCTGATCCATACCGACGCCTGCACGGAGAGAAAAAGGATTCAACAGAGAAACAAAGGGCTTGCGAAAGGCAGTTACAAGATGCAGCATTGCCACAGCAGTGGGCATTAACCACAACAGGAGATGGAGCCACAGTGATTAGATACCATCTAGGCCAGTGTTGTCCAAACTTGGCCACTTTAAGATGAGTGGCCCATGCTGGCTGGGGAATTCTTTAGATACCATCTAGGCCAGTGTTGTCCAAACTTGGCCACTTTAAGATGAGTGGCCCATGCTGGCTGGGGAATTCTTTAGATACCATCTAGGCCAGTGTTGTCCAAACTTGGCCACTTTAAGATGAGTGGACTTCAACTCCCAGAATTCCCCAGCCAGCATGGGCCACTCATCTTAAAGTGGCCAAGTTTGGACAACACTGATCTAGGCCTATGACTGTTGAATGCCAAATGCCCAGTTTATGCTTCTATCAGCACCAGGCTTCATTCTCCCATTCTTCCAGACTCTTGATGAATCTCTTATTATAATAGTTTAAAGCCCTGATTATATGCTGACTATTAAAAAAACTGTATTTTTAGCTTTGTTGCTGAATTGGTTTATAAGCCTATATATAAAGCTATAAACCCATTTGTTGTAAATTATTATAATGCTTTATCATAAAATCGTATATGATATGATATGATATTTTGTATTATATTATAATATTATATTGTTCAAAGAACATCACAGTGTCAAATAGGACAAGACTATTAAGGCCTATCTTGCCTATAGGTTTCCTGTAGCAGCTAATTGTATTTTATCAGTCCATGTAGATCACAATACAATTTGTATCACCTTATAAATGATTGGATGGAATTCAAAATGAGATGCCTTTATAACAAACACTATTTATGCAAGAATGAAATGTTATGAGTGTCTAATAGCCATCCAGAGTTAAAAATTCTATAATTCTTTCATACAGTATTACTTTTTTAAAATAAAAAAATCTCCTTTGAGTTGAGCTTAACTCCTGGTGACTTCATGGAGATAACAATATGTCAGTGATTTGCCACTGCTTTCTTCTGGAATATATTTCCACTTCTCAGTCTACCCTGTAGCCCTAATTCCAGTTACTCTTCCATCTCAATACTAACTGGTCCAACCTTGTTTAGCTTTTTGAGATCAATCAAGGTTCTGCCACCTAGCTGGACTTTCCTGTGATACAAGACATTCTATGAAAGGAAGGAAGGAAGGAAATGTGTGTATAATTGATCATCTATCCTCAGATTGTTTTGTGAATCTCACTGATCTTATCTAATATTTTAAAATAATTTATCCCCCACACCCCTAGTATCTCTAGGACCACAGGATTAATTTGTTTCTCCTCCCCCCAGGATCAGAGGCAGGCCTCCTCGGAGAAAGGAAAACTACAGAGATTCTCCTTTTATACCTTCTTTAAATCTCCTCTTTTCCAATTCTTACCTGAGGGCTTCGGAGTGGTAGCATTAGAGATCCCTCCATTGTGCTGACTATTGTCACTAAAGTCCAAGCTCATTCGGGGCTTTGGCTGATATTCTCTTCTGGGCTGAACTGATGTTTCTTTTATTCTGTCATAAGATGAAAAAAGCAGATTTAATTTGAACTAGTAACTGGAAACCAAGCAATTGTTATCCACTAAGACTAATCAAGGCAAACATTTCTTTGCATTCTCATAACCAGCATGTCTACAAGCCAGCTATTAAGCATACTTACTACATAGTGTAGAACTTGATTATTGAAAGCAGTCATCTTCATCCTTTTGGCCCTAAAACTGAATGGACTGGTCATTTTTAATACTTTATCATAATGATCTGCCACAAAAAGGGAATGCATAAATTGTACAAATGTGTCAAATCAGTATCTGATTCAAGTTCACAGGGTTCTCTTGGTGGTAGAGGACAAGTTAGTTTAGGCTTCTATCCTGAACTGTCTATTCATCAGGTCAATATATGCCTTGAAGTTCATACCAAGGCCAGTTTCATCTATTAAATCTATTTCAGTGTATATGGAAGATATCTTATAGGGTCCCCTTAACTATGTAGAATGAATGAAATATGTAATGGAGTATTATTCTACTGTAGTCTGGAAGCTGGGACTGATGCTGACTGCAGCTGCTTGCTGAGAACATTATGTGCTGGAAAACCAGGGGCCAGGTCATAAACATTTGCTATATAAAACCTTTATATATGCTATATATAAAACCAGATTGAACTTTATTCACTTCTCAGCCCTACAAATATATTATATCTCCTGACTACGCAGAAAGCCCGCATCTCAGTCACAGGGGGTCTGCAGTAAGACTCAAGCACTTTCCTATTTGTACTGCTCAGCTTGTTCTCTGCTTGAGAGAACCACAGGCTGCACTTTGGCTACCTTAGAGTTAAAATACTATAGATAGTTAAATTTTAAAGTATCACAGATCCTGCCTGCAATTCCTTCAAGTTCCCTGGGCAGGGCAGGTTGCAAGGTGCCTGGTCTTTCTTGTCAAAGCCTTGAGATTGAGCATGGTACTTTTTTTGAAGTTGTAGAACTAGAGCATTTACTCTTTACTGAAGGTCTGATTGTTACAAACCTGCTTTCTTGAAACAGAAACCTGAGTTTCTACAGAGCTCTCATGCTCTGCAATTAGAAGTCACATTTCCCATTTGCAGTAGGGCAGAGGCTATACAGATTCCCAAGCTCACTAAATTTCCTGAAATTTCTCTTGATGGATTCCAGTAGAGTGGACTTGTCCAAGGTGCTTAATGTCAAGAGCAGCTTGTTCTGATGTAGAACGTCTATGGCTGATTAGAAGCACACAGGCAAATATACACTGTTGAAGCTGCCTTGTCAAAATCCATGATAATTTAACTAAACAATAGACTTGTAAACCACAACTTCTGTAAAATGTGATAAATGATAGTTGAACTCTAGGCAGGCTTAGGATAGGAACATAAGATTTCAAGTTGAAAAGGCTATGCTTCTATCTATGACCTGCAAAATGAAGTTATAAAATTATTTCTTTTTACAATTATTTCATGATGATGTCTATAAATTCCTGTATATGCACTGTGAAAGACCATTTAACATGTCTATAAATTCTTGAGCCCCATCACCACACCAGAGCAAGAGTCTTCAAAAGAGTCCAAAATTCTTTTGATAAGATTAACAAAGTTCCTCAAGAAATTATCATGTAACTTTAACTCATAAAAAAGACAGATCTCGGTACAAGTCGTTATAATCAGGACTAAAAGAAACATAACATAACATGACTGTATGGAATTGGAGAATGATTTAAAATCCATAAAAAAATAACCAACCAAGCAAACTTGCTAAACAGTGAAAAAAGACAGGTGAACCCTATTTGGTTCATATTGGAATGAGTCACTTCCTTTCCTTTAATGTCTAAGTACAACTTGGAAAACAGAGCTTTTGAAGAACTAATTACATTACATCACTTGAGTCCAATTGCAAGAAAAGGAGCAGCAGAATGAGTCCAGAAAGAGTGGGGATTTAGACACTCAGTGAGCAAGAAAAAAGGAAGGTGCTGGCAAGTATGTGTTGGGAATATTTCACCAGCTTGGAAAAAATGTGGAGTCCCTAATGTTTTCTGAGTCATTACTAGTTCTGAGACTCATATTGATTCTAGATAGAAAATAATTTTTAAAAAAAGTTGTATCTCTAAAGTATTTCAATATCTCAGACTTCCAGGGAAGAAATGGCGAACTGGAGACAGCTCCATGAAAAGTGGAGCTGATGACCATGGTGGAATGAAGAGCTGGTGAGTAGACCGGCTCTTTGTAATTCTTCTCTGGACAAAGAGAGGACTTGAGATTGCCTACAAGTGCTCCAGACAGTTGCTCCTCATGAGGAGACCACAAGACAGTGGTCTCCAGCTGGTTTACAGCTCTGGGAGACAAGGGAATAGCCATCTTAGTCAAACCACAGTCGACGCCTTTAAAAGGACACTGGGTTTACATACTTCCTTCTCTAATCACTTTTGGAAATTGCTTGTTAACTGCTTGTCAGCTGGTAGGAATCTTTGGATCAACAAATCTGAAAACACTGAGTGAGTTTCTTTCAATCCTTAGCAAGAGAAGTTCTAACTACAAGCCTAAGGACTTAAAAAAATTCTGGAATAAACAGCAAAAGGATTATTAAAATTTTGATTTTAGAAAGTTACAGACTAAGGGTCCAGATAAATTTGAAATAAGATTTTGGAATTAATTATAAAGAATCCTTCCTGTGGGAAAATGCTTTTTTCTTCTTTAAAAAAAAAAAAAGATAGGACTTTAAAAATTAGACACTAGAGGGAACTAGAAGGAAATAAAGATTACAATTAAAGGAGAAGAACACTCAAATTCAACTTTAATTTGAATGTTAATGTTCTGTATTATAGTACAATATAGAATGAAGCAAAATACTTTAACACTGGATATACTGAAGGATATTTTTGAACAGTGGACCCAGAAGTTAATTTTAAGAGTGTCCGCCTGTATAGATAGACTGTGTTTAAAAGATGCTATGGAAGAGGAACAAGTATTACCTGACATGATTGAGACTGATTTGAAAGTGGGTTTAAAAATGACAGGCTACAAGAATGACACAGAAAAAGATGTTACGCTGGACATACTGTACAAAAGAAACTAGTTTATGTCTTAATAATTAAAAGGGATATACAAATAACAAACCAAGAGAGTGACCTGGATAAATTTCCTATATTGGATTTATAAAAGAGGCTTGTTAAAGCTTTGAAGAATTATGTGAGAAGGGGCAAAGAAGAAATGAAAAGAAATCAAGTTCTAGAACATTATTTAAAGGGACTGAAGATCAAGATTGTTAGAAATAAAAGGAAGGAATATAAAGTTGGTTTATTTGACCAGGGTTAAAATAGCCATGTTGTTATCTCTGGTAACCCTTAATGGACTTTTGCTGACATCAGGACCTAAATGACAAGATTTTATGCATTTGTTTATAGATAAGAGATGGGATATGGGAAGAAGAGATTATTTGTTACATTTTAAGAGAAGGTGATAAGTTACTAAATTGTTTATACTTGTGATGAAGGGGGAAGTAACTTCTTTATATATTTCTTTTTTTTCTTTACTATATTTTTCTTTTTTCTTTTTTTTCTATTTTTCTTTTTTTTCTCTTTTTTCCCTGCTTCTTCTCTTTTTTTCTTTTTTAGTTTGTAATAGTTTTTATTGTTGTAAATTGTAGTCTTTAATAAAATTACTATAAAAAAATAAAGTATTTCACCCTCTCTGAGGCATGCCAAACAATACAGCTAAAAAAGCTACAATTTCTCTACTTCTTGACAGGAAATGAGGAATTGATGGCATTCTACTCTCTCATTCTCATAAAATAATACAGAAAAAGAAGGCTCTCTACAGCCAGTGCTAGCCCAGAAGAAAAATAGGCCTGCTGTCTCCTACTAAGGAGCTCCTGCATGGAATATGTGGGCCAAACACATATTTTGGGTGGTCTGTGGCCAGAGACAATGTGTGTGTTTAGGTCCAGGCTTGGACCATCCACAGTAGTTCCATGCATGGAATGTTTTGCACATCCCTAAAAACAACCACTTCATTAGCCACTCTAGAAAATGCATATTTAATGGGGACCCAAATTGTGGGTAGGAACAATGGAGAGCTCACTGTGGGGAAGATATTTTCAGTGGAATAACTGTTGCAAAATGCATCATGTTCTAGCCCTAAAATGCAATTAAATATGTCTATGTATTTTGTTCTATAACCCATAGAAATTTGGTCCTCTGTTGAAAAGACAACACAGCAATATCTCAGTGTAATTTCATCTCAGGTTTTCAGCCCTGACATCAAAAACATATGCCCAGATAATTCTGTTTACTACCTTTCTTCCAGCTTGAGACTAACTTGTTGGAGAATCTCTGTAGCTTGCCTGTGGTATTCCAGCTGGGCTTGTACTAGTGCAGAAAGTTGGCTCACTTGTTCAACCTGTAAATAAGAGCCTTATTACAACATTGTTGTGTAGTGCATTCAATCCTCTGAAAAAGCAGTGAAAAAGGAAACTCAATTTTGAACTGAATACCAGAACTGGAAAAAAAATGACAGCCCTCTTCACTAGGACTAGGAGAAAAGGTAGCCAATGTTCAGTTACTTCCTGCTGGCCATTTTCTGGAGGACCATCTAAAAGTCAGATAGCTTCTAGAATATGATATACTGTAGGTGGACTTGGCTCTAACCAACAAGCCACTTACATTCATAAGCAAGTGTGCATATACAAAATCACTTAATGCAGATTAATTATGTCTTATCTGGAAAAGAAACTGGATATGCATGTATATACTGTAGCAAGTCTGGATTTTTTTTTAAAAAAGCTTGACTATGCAAGACTAACACCTATTGCTGTTCAACATGCAAATAAAAACAATTCATATATTTAATCAAAGTCACTAATATAAACAAAGAAAATTTTCTTAATGGATCACCAATTCAGTTTACCAACTCATTTCTATTGTCTACCTGGCATGTTGGAAGTGTATCTACATCAGTAGTCTTCCCCCACAGAATGTCTCCAAACTAGCTGAGGAAGTCTTTAGATTATTCCTGAACATGTCCTTGACTGAGGCTCCATCTCAAAATGTTATAACGCTATTTATCATTAAAACAATACTAATTCTTCAGAATATAGTATTCTTGCTACACGTGTGGTACTTGAAACAATAGATGGCGGTGGAACTCTGCTCAATTACAAGTAAAGGAAAACCATGTGAGGAAAACCATGTTTTCACTTCAGAGTAAAGGGTTTCTTTTCCGCACAAGTAAAATATAGAATTGTGGTCTGGCTGAACCAATACCCAGAACATTTTCATTGTTCTGGGTTTCAGCTGAGACAAAATTGGGAAGTGTCTTATGGGGATACTTGTCATTCTTTTCCCAGAAAAAAAAAAGTGAAATTCCATATTGGCATGGATTTAGCCTTAGCAGACTGGTATTTGTTAGCTTGATGGAATTCTATATATTCAGTTTCAGTGGAGAACAAGAAAGCTACAGTAAGTGCTGTGATCCTGCTTTATAATTTATCGAGTTTTGTTCCAGCATGTTCAGATATTATATAAATTCAATTTATTTAAAACTTGATTTATTACACATATCAACCTGAAGGGGGTATAACAATATAATATTTTATTCATCTTGAGGAATGTTTGAAACATGTCACCATTATTCTCATTGTAAGTATTTTTTGACCTGAAACCAAGTAACTGTAGAATTTCAAGACTATTCAAATAATTCATAGGGGAACTAGAATTCATGCTGTGATCCATTGTGCTCTGGTTCAGTCCCAGCAGTGTCTAAGATTATTAGCAAGTCTTCTTCCAAAATGCCATTCACATGAAAATTGATAGCAAGTAGAATAATTTACTGACAGTGCCAATTTACCTAAAAACATGTTTGCAAATCTTGCCCTTGGAACTCTAAGATACAAACTACTTTTCTAACAGGATAATCACATTTCATCTGTTATGTAATATTTTGCTTTGGAAAGCCAGATCTACACACTTATGTGTGTCTGGGAGTCTAGGAAACAAGACCAGAAAACTCTGTTCTTTTTAAAACTCTAGTTACTTAAAAATATTAATCTGTTAATGAAAACACTATCCAAAATACAAAAAAAAGGGGGGGGGGTATTTGCTCACATCCATCTCTAGCAGATTAAACATGCTTGATTCAGCAATCTCTTTTGACTCATCAAACTTCTCTAGAGCTTGGCGGAGTTCCTCATCTGGGATCTTGCCTTGTCTTTTCTTCTTGTAATCAAAGTCCAGGCGTCTGCCCTCCATTTTTTTAAGATGGTGCTGAAAAAGGGTGGAGAAAGTACAACAGCTTTATGAACCCTGTTTTTTCACCCCTTCAACTCAATCATGACTCTTCAGAAGTAGTTTGCCACTGCCTTCCTCCTAGGCCTGACAGAGTGTGATGGCCCAAGTCACCCAGCTGTCTTTGTGCCAAAGGCAGGACTAGAATTCACCGTCTTCCAGTTTCTAGCGCAGTACCTGTAACCAGTACACCAGATGAACTCTTTTATGAACCCTAGTTTAACTGAGCTTACGACTAATGGCAATTAAGAATGGTGCTATTTATTTCCAAGCCAAAAACAAACTTATCTCATTTTTTCAAAGACAATTTGTAGACAAGTGAGAATTATCAAGCATTTAGAATGTAGAAAAATGGACACATAGAAAATAGTAACTGCTTTAAGGTAAGCCACAAACAAGTTTTCTGGATTACTTATATAAAGCCTAATTCATAAGACAGCATGAACTCTCTCTAGATAAAGGAAAATATGCTAAGTTACAGTGCTGTGCAAATGAATAATAAGCTAAAATCTTTAATGTCCAAGGTCAGAAACTTATCTCTTTACTGGAATGCTAAGCGTTCAATAGCAGAAGTGTGTTCATGATATTACCTACAACTTAATGTTCAATAATAATAATAATAATAATTATATATATATATATTCACTGATACATTTACTTAGAGGTATCCTACGCTAATATAGTTATTTCAAGCAGATTGATCAGATATTAAGATTTTTTAATGGAAAATACAAGCCCCTAGTTTTTTTTAAAATATACACTACAATTAATATATAATGACAAGAGTTTCCATTTTCCTGATTTTCAGCTTTATCACTCGGCATATACCGCGACTTCATTTGTTAATGGAGTACAAGTGATCAATTACAAAATCATTATGGACAGAAAGTTGTAAGTTTCGGTGCTCCCTCCATTCCTCTTTAACATCTAGATGAAGCTGCTAGGTGAGCTCATCTGTCACCATGGGGTGAGGTATAATCATACACTGATGATACCCAACTATACATCTCTGCCCCTGGCGAATTAAGCAATGCTGTTGATGTCTTATCCCAGTGCCTGGAGCCTGGGCGGGTCTGGATGAGGAACAACAGGCTTCAACTGAACCCTGGCAAGACTGAGTGGCCATGGGTTTTTGAGCCTGCCAGTTCAGGGAATATATCATCTTTGGTACTGGATGGGGTTGTACTGCCCCAGAAAGACCCTGTGTGCAACTTCGGGGTCCTCCTAGACTCACAACTCCTGCTTGAAGAGCAGGTGGCAGTTGTGGCTAGGAGGGCCTTTGCACGCTTCATGTTGTATGACAGTTGCACCTGGATTGGGAGGCTCTGCTCCCAGTCACTCATGCCCTGGTCACCTCCTGGGTTGACTACTGTAATGAGCTCTATATGGGGCTGCCCTTGAAGAGCATCCAGAAGCTTCAGCTGGTTCAGAATGTGGCAGTGCAGGCAGTTATATGTGCCCCTAGAGTAGTACATGTTACACCTCTGCTCTGCGAGCTGCATTGGTTGCCAGTTTGTTTCCGGGTCCAATTTAAGGTGCTGGTTCTGACCTATGAAGCCCTTCATGGTGTGGGGTTGGGTTATTTCAGGGACTGCCTCTTCCCAATTACACTTACCCATCCCATCAGGTCCAGCCAAAGAGATACATTGTGGGTCCCGTCTGCTAAGGAGTTACATTTGACAGGACGCTTTTCTGCCGTGGCAGCTGCTCTGTGGAACATCATCCCCCCGTGTCAACAGGCCTGGGGGTCGCCAGGGAACAGTGATCTGACGAGGTGGCTCCATTGTTCATAATCTGATGCTTTCCCTTAGCCTTTTCATAATAATAATAATTTTTGTACTTCTGTATGTTTTTAAAATTGTTTTTTATGGGCTGTTTGTATGCTGCCCAGAGTCATGTCATGTGAGGTGGGTGGTCATATAAATATGATATACAGTGGATAGATAGATAGATAGATAGATAGATAGATAGATAGATAGATAGATAGAGCCTTTGATATCATGGCAGGAGTATGGTCCTATTTTTAGCCATAGTTCTAAAGGAAGTATAATTTTTACTTTTACTCATATGATAAAATTACTTTTTGGGATTACCCTTGTTTCAGTCTTTTTGGGGACATGAGTCTTGCGCAGTTAAGGATATTAATACTTTAGAACAACTTACTGAAAGTCTCCTAGCCATTAGAGTTATTACAGGAGAAATGTAGATACTGCAAAATGGTACTACAATTAAAACACACTTCTATCTTGCACCTTGGTCCAGAAGTGATAGCAGTGTCAAAAAAATGCCTGGATAATTATCGATACTGGAATGCCATTTAAATAATTCTAAATTTGTAAAATCTTTATATAAGTCATTAAAAATTATTACTAAGGTAGACTGTAAGTTATTTTTAAGAACTTTGGAATAAGAAGTTGGAATAGCCTACATAGTATGGCAAAAGTTCTTAAAAATATTACCTGTAATACTAAGAAGATCCCTGTTCAATGTTGGAAAGATACAGCTACCCCAGATTTACATTCTTGGATCACAAAAAAGGTTGTTGAGTTTTTGTGTATCAACTGGATCTCTACTGATATATTAACCGCCCGTCACTCCACAGTGAGATGGGCGGTGACAAATTTGAAATATAAATAAAATATTGGAAGGATTAATATCATGTCATGTGGTCAAATTTTGATAATTTGTTTAAAAATTAGGATGAATTGTAGTTCTTTTATGTAATAAATATTTTTGCTGCTGTTTAAAAAATGTATTAATTTGGGAGAGGGGGGACTCTTCTTTTTTCTTTGTTTTTATTCTTTTCTTTGTATATTAAAGCAAAAATTAAAGAAGAAAATCTGGGACATAATACCTATGGCGTTCTGTTTTTTTATATATAATTTTATCAAATTTTTTAAAAAGAAAGATAAAAACTAACAAGAACTAATACTTAGAATGAAGAGAGAATAAGAAAGGAACAAAGCTAAAAGTAGAGAAAAGGAAAAAAAATGATAAAGAAATGACTTCCGATTTTCTTTTACAACAGTTATACAGTGGGGCAAAAAGGTATTTAGTCAGCCACCAATTGTGCAAGTTCTCCCACTTCTTTAATTTTTGCTTTAATATACTTCTTTAATTTTTGCTTTAATATACTTCTTTAATTTTTGCTTTAATATACTTCTTTAATTTTTGCTTTAATATACTTCTTTAATTTTTGCTTTAATATACTTCTTTAATTTTTGCTTTAATATACTTCTTTAATTTTTGCTTTAATATACTTCTTTAATTTTTGCTTTAATATACTTCTTTAATTTTTGCTTTAATATACTTCTTTAATTTTTGCTTTAATATACTTCTTTAATTTTTGCTTTAATATACTTCTTTAATTTTTGCTTTAATATACTTCTTTAATTTTTGCTTTAATATACTTCTTTAATTTTTGCTTTAATATACTTCTTTAATTTTTGCTTTAATATACTTCTTTAATTTTTGCTTTAATATACTTCTTTAATTTTTGCTTTAATATACAAATTACAGGCCTCTCTCATCTTTTTAAGTGGGAGAACTTGCACAATTGGTGGCTGACTAAATACTTTTTTGCCCCACTGTAAGTATAAATGTAAATTAACCTCTTACTCTATGGTTACAATATTGCTTACATTTTTTCTATAATCTATTTTTTTTTCTAATCATCAAAACCGTACATCATAATTTCACTTTTTTTTGTTTCATGCAAAAACATGAACCCCTTCAGTAAGGGGTTTCCAATCAGCATTAAAATATCTATGGCATTCTGAAAGCCGCAGAATCTTCTATAACACTTACATAAAAACATCATGGAATTCTGAATTGCTTTTCCCTTACTTTATGTGATGGCTTACTATTTAGAAGATATTTTAGATGGTGTGTACTTAAGTAGTGTAAAGAAACAGAACAAAAAGCTCTGCTACCACAATAGATTTGTACCTGTTGTAATGTCTAGCTAATTCCTTAACACAATTCCATTTATGACAATACCTGTATTTCCCTCAGATCTTTGTCATGGAGATTTTGCAGTGGATCAATGAAATTCTGCTTCACATTAATATCCAAAGCATCCTTCACCTCAGACAGCTCCCTCATTGCTTCTCCAACATCACCTAAAGCTGGGCCTAAAAAAAGAAAAATAGAAATGCTTTTATTTTAATTTAAATTGATGAAAGGGTATGCTTTTTAATTTTGCTTCTTAAATCCTTACAACCCCCACGTCCCAAAAACTGACTGAAAAGTTTGTCCACGCCCTCAGTGACATCATCAGACCATTGGACCTGGCCCTCAGAGGCTTAATAAATAATCAGAATAAATCCCACCCCCCAAATATTGCTTGCCTTAGATTTAGAGCTTACATTTGCTTCAAACTATTATCCAAGAGTTTAGTAATGAATTAGGGATGTGCAAAATTTGTTGATCAATGAACTGAAAGTTCCGGGATTGGTCTGTTTCACCTAAAATACCATGCCTGGAACACCATGAATGGCTTCTGGTTCAGAGAATTTATTTCTGCAGACTGATGAACTGTCCCCAGGACAGCACAGTCCAGGAGAAGATTTGGCGTAGTCTAAAAGGAAATGCAATATTCCTGAGTTCTCCAGAATGTTCCGGTCCTAGTTTGATAAATTCTGCACACCCTATTGCAAATACTTAATTAAAAAATAGGTTTAAATTTTCCCAAAAGCAACTGGATAAGGCAGACCCAGGAATCCAAAAGAGAAGCAAATATAACCACTCCCTTTGAATTGGGTACTCTGTATATGTTTAGAGGTGGGCTTTCATCCCAATGCACTGGAGTGCAAAAAAGAGAAACCTCTGGCGTACCAAAGCAGTTGGGCCTGCTGTATCTGAGATCCGGTATTGGCATAATCCAGCCAAAGACAAAGAGCGTTTATGAGTTTTGAAAGATGAAACAAGAAGAAGCCAACGTTACCAAAATTGCACTCTTCTCCAAGTTCTCGCCCAAATTTTAGCATTGCATCTGCAAGCAGGGCCTCCGCTTGAGGATAACCGGGTCCTTTCTCTTGGCCCCTAATTTTAGACATGGTGTTGAGCATGCTGAGTTTAGCTCTGGAAGCTACAAGCAGAGAGGAGACTAATCAGCAGAAACAATATATTGGGGAGATGGGAAACTGAATTGTGCCTATAAATGAAGACCTCATTGACATAAAAAGAAGATCTCACAAAAGTTTCTTAAGCCGTGGGGAAATTTAGTTTCCTTCTAGATAGGCATGCGCACCAGTCTTCAAACCTATGTATTGGATGTGGGTGAGCTCTTTTACAGTGGTCACAACTTAAGAGCATTTGCTGAAATAAAAGCTGATGAAAACAGCCTGGTGTTACTGCCACCCCCCTCCCCTTATGCACAGAACAGCTATGGAAGCTCCATAACAATTTCTGATCATTCTACAAGATTTCCTGTTTCCCATCAGGCATATTTTTGCATTTCAAACCTATCTCCGGGGCATATCTATTAACCTTTTCTCCACTAATTTTTCCCTCTTGCATTTTTCATTGAAAACCTGCTGAGAAACAGCATTTTGCTATTTTGTCCAAGCTGATCTTAACTACCACTGAGACCATGTCCCCGTTTGCAGGTAATGACAACACAAACATACTCTGGCCACAGATTTTTTGGTCATGTTGCAGTGGCATTGCCTAGACCATGAATAAGACAAGCTTAAGTTGTCCTTAACCTACTGGTTAAAGTAGTATTTTCTCCTTTTCCCACACCATCCTAGGCCAAACCCAAGATGTATAAAATGTGTTTGTCAGAAAGAAATCAGTGATAGCAGTGACTGGGGACAGAGGCAACAAAGATGGAATAGGAATTAGTCATGAGGACAGCAAATTTTGTGCTGGCAGTATTTTCTGCTGACCCAAGAGATGGGTGGATAGCAGTATAATTCAGCTGTGGGAAAGACTTTGGGGCAAAACAAAGGCAAAACTCAAGGTAGGACAACTTCCTGTGTGTCCAACATGCTTTTCATTGCATGAAGTAGAAAACTATCCTGAATACTGCAGTTCTGACAAACGTGAGGAAGACAGGGTCAAACTGCACACTTAAGTTTTGCAATCTCATCCTTAGCAGAAAATATTTTAAATAAAGTTGCATGTATCATCCTTCAAGGAAAAACAAGCGCTCCTTTCTTTTGCTAAGTATTTTGTTCTGGGATGGAAACAGGAGAAAATGGCAAATAAGAATTTAGAAAAATGATGCAGAAGACACCAAGCCAAACTTGTGTCAGTCCTCTACACCGCATTCTGCATGTATGTACGTATGTATTTTTTCTTCCTAGCGTTTTTCCCGCAGGTGCAGGATCTGGTTTTTTTTTCAGATCAACCAAAAGTTGATCTACTGGTTGCAACAGGAATTGTCCAACCAGCTTGACTTCCAAGCCTGACATCATGGGCTGAGAGAGTGACTGGCCCAAAGCCACCCAGCTGGCTTTCATGCCGAAGGCGGGACTAGAACTCAGGGTCTCCTGTTTTCTAGCCTTAACCACGAGACCGAACTGGCTCTCATGTACACACCTGCACACGCACATGTGAGCAGAGACTGTTTCTTGCTCTTCCTTATAGCTCTATTTAAACCATAATCTCTGATTCAAATAGAAGTAAAAGTACCTGGATTGGGTTGGAGATATTCAATTGTCTTGGCCATTATTTCCATCACAGCCCTACTGGTGACATCCACTTTCTGCAGTAACAGAACAAAAGATAAAAGGGAAGGGAAGAATCCCCAAGTGAGAATGGAGAAATACATTCAATACCCTTGTCAGAATGTATTTCTTCTTCCACGGCTCTATATTATACAGTGGTACCTCGGGTTACGAACGCCTCTGCTTATGAACTTTTCGGGTTGCGACCAACTCCGGCCGCAAAAATTTACCTCGGTTTGCGAACTCCGCCTCGGGGTACGAACCGGATCCGTGGCCATTTTCCGCCGTGACACGTGGTCTGCGGCCATTTTCCGCCTGTGTCACGTGGTCCGCGGCCATTTTCCGCTCGTGCCACATGGTCCACGGCCATTTTTCCGCCCGTGCCACCTGGTCCGCAGCCGTTTTTCCGCCCTACTGGGCGGTCCGCGGCCATTTTCCCGCCTGTGCCACGCGGTCCGCGGCCGTTTTTCCGCCCTGCCGCATGGTCCGCGGCCGTTTTTCCGCCCTTGACGCGTGGTCCGCAGACACCGGAATGGATTAACAGTAATTACATTGAACCTTATGGGAAAATTTGCTTCGGGTTGCGAACAAATCGCGTTGCGACCAGAGTCACAGAACGGATTAAATTCGTAACCCGAGGTACCACTATATATGGGAAACGACCCACCAGCATGTCAACTATATCTCCAAATGAACCAGCTGACTGTCATTAAGCCTCAGCAGGAGACAGGACCCAGCTGGCCTTGGCTGGGTTCAGAAGCTAAGCAGGGTCAGGTGGGAGAAACCTCCAAGGAATACCAGGAGTGAAGGCTACACCAGGAAGTTGAAAAACATCCCTGAAGGCCATCTGCTCAGCACTTCTGTCCTGTTGCAAGAAACTGCATTAATGGTTGCACTCTCCTAACAGATCTGGTATGTGGCCAAATGCCATGGCTATTATGGTGGGGTATCAGTAACGCTGCAAACTTGCTTCATGCAACAGCTTTGTAAATGTCCAAGAGCTTCTAGCAGCCTCAGCCACTCTAGGCGAGTCTGCTTCCAAAGCTTACATGGTCCCAGTTTCTAGGAAGGAGAGATCTGCTGCCACCATGGTTTGCCATCTCCTGGCAGTACTCTGCTTTTTCGTGCAGAGAAGATCAAGGATGTCACTTCCTGGCTCTTTTCCTTCCCTTTCTCTCTTATGGCTGCAGTTGAGAAGGAAAAGAATAGGGGAAATCAACCAATATCAAGTAAGAGAAATAAAAAACATCTGGGGAAGAGTTTTCTGCTTCATTCTGGGGAAAAAGCAGAGCACTGTTGGCAGGTTAGCAGGCAAATTTGGCGCTCTTCTTGCACTAAAAAAAAAAAGTCTACAAAGGGCAGGTTTCCAATGAGAAGAGAGTAACATAGGAGTTAAACATTCTTCTTAAAGAAACTTGGCCCTAATTAGCAGCTATCTTCATCTAGGCTCAGATACAGAATAGCTTTCTCTATAATTTGTAAGTGGAACCATTTAGGAAAAAACAATAGTATCCCAATATCAGAGGGATCTAGAAAGTCCTGAAACCAGTTTCGTCACTGGCATTAAATACTGGGGTAAGCAATAAAGATGAATCTGAGTCCTAAGCCTGTATCTTTCAAACCTTGTCCCCTACACTCCTGATCCAGAAGAGCAGGAACCATATGACCATATTTACCTGTAGGAAAATTAGATTCTCCTTATTAATATCTATGACCTGAGTGGGGCAGGGCATTTTGTTTTTGTTTTTCATTTTCCCAAAGTAAGAATAAACCAAACTGCTGAAATCAGAGGCATGTGCAAGAGTCACAATGGCTGCAGAGTTTTTGGTGCAAAGTGGGGATGCATTGAAAGATTAACCCTTGGCCTAGGAGGCTCCCTTTCCTCCTAGTTAATGTTAACCTCTTTGAAAATGTTCACTTTTTCTCCTTGCCTCTCCTGTCATCTCTTCCTCTGACTTCCTCTCCATCTGGTCTAGTTTCCTGCCTTCCTCTTTTCTTCTTTCCCTTCTGCAGCCACCTCTCCCCCCCTCTCCAGGCTCCCTCTTGCTTCTTCTCTTTTTCTGCTGACAGGGAGAGCAACGGTCTGTATGTGTGTAGCTCAGAAAGACTGACTGGATGCAGACGGAAGATCAATTGATTTTATAAGGGGGAACTTTACTTTATGGGCAATTAGTTTTTAATAGTTTCAGTAGATTATTATTATTATTATTTTATTCCTGTCCCTCCTTTTCGGGGGGAGGCACGGCTTGCTTGCTTATTTATTTATTTATGTCATTGATTCAATTTTTAAGCAACATAGAGTGTCAAAAATAAATTAAGAAAATCACAATAATCAAAATAAAATCTGCATACACACACACACACATTGATTGGAGAAGAGAAAAATATATATGTACCCACTAATAAAAATCCTATGCATTGCCCAGCTCCCCCATCTTATCAGCCTGGCATTGCCAACTTCAGCTGACACCCAATCTTCAGGACTGGTTTCAGCTGGAGTTGGCAATGCCAGGCTGATAAAATCAGGGAGCTGGGTATTGCACAGGATTTTTATCAGCTGGGGTGTGTGTGTATGTGTGTGTATGTAAAAAAAAAATCCCCTCTCACCCCTGTGGGTGGTATGTGTCTTCCTCAATCTTGGGTCCTCTACCAGAGGCCTGGGAGTTTCAGGGTTCTGCACAGGATCTTAACTGTTCCTAGAACTGCTCTCTTCTGGACAGAGAGCCCTGATGTTGTTCCTGGGATCTGTGGGAGCCCCTCTCCCAGCTTAGGAGTCACAGCCCCGAGTGCTCCTACCACCACTGGGACCACTTTTGCCTTTACTTCCCACATCCTCTCTAGTTCCTCCTTCAGGCCCTGGTACTTCTCCAGCTTCTCATGCTCTTTCTTCCAGTTGCTGTCACTTGGTACCACTATATCTATCACCATCACTGTCTTCTGGTCCTTCTCTACGACCACAATGTCTGGTTGATTGGACAGTACCTGCCTGTCCATCTGGTTCTGGAAGTCCCACAGGATCTTAGTTCTGTTGTTCTCCACAACCTTCTGTGGAATCTCCCATCTGGACTCCGGAGGGTCTATCTCATACACTGTGCAGATGTTCCTGTACACAATGCCAGCTACTTGGTTGTGCTGTCAGTGTATGCTGTTCCTGTCTGCATCTTACACCCTGCCACTATGTGTTGGACAGTCTGCACCTTGGGTCCTGTCTTGTGTTCATAGAAGACCCCTGTTCTATGGATCTGGTGCTTAGTGCCTGTTCTTGTGCTACTATGATCAGTGCCTCAGTGCTGTCTTTTAGTCCAGCCCTTTCCAGCTACTGGTAGGATTTCCCAATGTCAGCTAATGGTACATCCCATGCAAGGTCTTGTCTTGCCATTGCACTTCCTCTGCTTGAGCTTCCTCCCATGTCTGCTGCTGTCTCAGGCATTCTTTCAGCAGCTCATCTTTGGGTGCCATCTTACTGATATACTCTTTGATGCTCTGGGTTTCATCCAGGACAGTGGCTTTGACACTCACCACACCCCACCCGCCCTCTTTCTGACTGGTGTACAATCTCTGGGAGTTAGACTTGGGGTGGAAACCTCCGTTCATTGTGAGGAGCTTCCGGATCTTCACATCAGCAGCCTCCATGTCCTCCTTTCGCCAGTTCACTATACCGGCAGGGTATCTGATGACTGGCAGGGCGTACGTGTTGATGAGGTGGACCTTGTTCTTCCCATTGAGCTGGCTCTTCAGGACCTGTCTTATCCTTTGGTGGTACTTGGAAATTGCTATCTTCCTTGCCTCCTCATTGTA